GGTAAGATGCAGGCTCTGTGAGCTCTAAACCACCCCTCCCTTTTCCTTCTGTTCTTGGCTGCTGTATGGATCTGGGGGTGTGGAGAAAGACATTGAGCTGCTTAGCTGGAAAGGATGACAAACACTCCTGTGTACCTGGCAGATACCAAACAGCTCAGGTAACCAGAGCAGCACATTTCTAACTAGATAAACACCTGACAGGTCTTTACTGGACCAAGAGGGTGGAGATGTAATCCTTCTGGCTGGCTGTAGGGAACAAGGGATTAGGGGGTAGGAGAGACAGGTCTTTCCACTGGGAAAATAAAAATGTGGAATGGATTTTCAGGCCTGGGTGACTGGGTCAGGCACCCCTGATGTTCCTTAAATAGGAAACATGACCCACGGAATCCATCAATCTTAAGAGGATAGATCCAAGATGGTGGCACTCACAGCTGCAGAGGCAGAAAGGGAAAAGACTCACACTTACTCCAAATTTCCTGTAAGTCAAGCTGAAGTCTCAGGTCCAGCTCTAATGGGACAAATGAGTGAGAAAGAGCAACAGGTTATGTTAGTTGCTTTTCAGAAGAGTCTTATCATTGATCTAGTTTGAAGTTCCTAACTGTTAGGGAAATGAGTCCCTTCCCATAGCTTAGTCCACTCCTTCTCTTCTCCACAGCTTAGCATGCTCCCTTCCTAGGCAGCAATAGGCCCGTGTAGTAAAGGCAGTAAAAAATCAACTTCCAGCCCCCTTTACCTTGGGACGGCACTTCTCTGGGGGCAGCTTCCACCATATAAGAGCCCCTTAGAGTGGCCTGGGCAGTTGCAGGACCCTTATCTATTATTTGGACAGCAGCCATCAATCCTAGTCCACAGGTCCACACCAGGGTCTCCACCTGCTAGCCCCTTCTAGCCCCTCCTAAACCTCCTAGCTTATATAGGTCACCCTGGTACTTCTTGTCACTTCTCCCTTGTGAGAAGGAGTCTTGCCGGCCCCCTTTCCCGGCAATAAACCTTTCTTTATTTTCTGTACCTGGATGTGGTACTCTGGCAGAGTCTAGTTAATCTTAATTTGCTATCACTGACCCAACTGGATATATCCAGCCACCATAAAGAAAATTCAAGTTTTATTCTTACTGGGATTATCAAGACAGTGAGGGGAAAACAAACCAGAACACAGACAGCAATTCCCAATAGGAATATAACTCTCTGAAGAGAAACCACTGTGGATTTTGTGATTATAGAAAGTAGCAATGATTCTTCATCACTGGAGCCATGTACTAGAGATCCTGATGTAAAGACAGGGCCCCGGCTTGTGGTCTCATGTAGTCAGACAACTGAGGTGCTGAACCCCAAAAGAGTTAACTAGTAGCTTGTCCCAGACTCCCTAGCTGGTTGACAGATCAGTCAGGAGTTCCTGGTTCCCAACTGGGCATATAGCTTCTCAGGACTGCTCCTTCCAGATGTGCATCATCTGGCTACACATCTGGCAGGGTGGTATGAAGGCTTGGGTAGGCCAGTCTATTAATGGTGTAAGATACCATGCCATTCCTGTCGTACATTCTGGTTTAATCCGGAGGAGGGAAAGGAGAGGGAGTGGTCTCTTTGTGAGACACAGGCAAATGAAACTAAAAGCAGAAAGTAACTTGCTACAGATTCCTAACCTCCAAACAGCACAGCCTAAACCATCCTGGGGAAAGTTCTTTGCCACAGCAGGTCTTCAGTCTCCCCGGCTTCAACCTCCCCCAAACTGGGAAGTCAATTGAAGAGCCAAGTCCCCCTCTAGGCCACAAACAGAAACAGCTTTCCATTTAAGGCAATCCAGCCTCCCACTGGCAGAATTTGGCTGCTGGAAACAAGAGGCTGGGTGGAGCCGGTGGAGCAAGAAGGTGGCCAGGACTCTGTACAGGGTCCCCAGAGGGGTCCTCATCTGGGCAGAGTGAGAGCTAGGGGCCCTTCCTGGCTATGGACATTCTCCAGAACTGTCCTCTTAAGGAGAGAACCCCAACACCAGGCGCAAAGGAACAGCCTGGCTAGAGGCATCCTGAGCAGATCTCCCTGCCTGACAGGTCCCTGGGCTTCACCCATCTCTCCGCCCATGTTCCCAATTCCCCGGGGCCTTGTTGGATGTGGGTCCCTGATGCGGGGCCAGGGAGAACAAGGGGAGGCCTGTCTGGAGCTTTGGGTCTCCCCCAGCGGGAGCTGGGCCTTGTGTCTGGGAACAAAGCACTGTTTGGCATGGCTCCCCACCATGTGGTTAGGGGAACTTTCCTCCCTTCGGGGTGTCCCTGGGGACACGAGTGTGACTCCTGCTGGTCATGAGGTCTGGAAAGGGAGGAGAGGGCTAAGCATGCGATCCAGCCTTAATGAACCCCATGCTTGTCCTGTTCAACCTAGAGACTGGGGTCATGGAGGAAAGAGGTGGATGGAGCTGCCATAGAATCCAGCTCTGCCTCTCCCCACTGAGAGATGACAAGCACGTTGCCTAACATCTCTGAATCTTGCTTTTCTTATCTGCAATGCGGGCATGTACTATCTACCTTCAGATGACAGGGTACATTGGGATGATACCCTTTGACAGTCTGGTGTGCAGTAGGTGGCGGGGTGGTCTGGTTCCCAGGGTCAGGGCCTGTCTGCCTGTCTGGCTCCGTGTGGCTGAGCACATCTCCCCAGAGCTTTTGGAGCTGTTGGAATTGTCTCCTAGCTCACTGTCAGAAATGGGCTAGGTGCTGGCTGGGGAATAGAATGGGTCATGATTGGCTTAGATGATTTAGGCTCTGTCCCTACTCAGAGATAAGCGTTTCCCTTGAAGAGAACTGCCATTCCTGAGCAAGAAGGGAAGAGTGGTCAGGCAGTAATAGATGTTCCCTTCCTGTGAAGTTGCCTTTATGCTGGGTGGTTTTTTTAGCCCCAGCCTTAGCTCAGTGAAGGCATTTGTCCTGGAGTCTTCAGGACAGAAAGGGGTGAAGGACCTGTGGGATATGAAAGGCTGGCAGTGGGAATTGGTGCCTGTCTGCAGGTGTGTCAGAGGTGTGCCCCAGCCTGTGGGGCTGGACAGGAGGTGGGAGGGGGCACCTTTCCTGAAGTCTCCTGTCATCTTGGTAAGAATGGGCTCTATAACCGGGGATAGTGGCAAGCTGGCATTACCAATGCCTTTCCCTCTCCTTCGGCCCTGCTGCTCCCTCTGCTCGGGTTCACTGAGCCTCCCTGCTAGATCCCAGGTTCTCTGCAGGTCCACTGGGCCCAGCGGTGACCTGCAGTCCTCTGCCTCAAGCACCCCTTTCTCAATTGTCTATGGAACACCGCATAGCAGGTGCTAGGCAGGGCCCAGAGACACCATGGAACGTGACCTGCTCTTCTTGAGCCGAGACCCATGCCATTGTCTCTGGGAAGCTCTCTGGCGGTGGAGGCTGTGTTTCCCTTTAGCCTGAACATTGACTCTGGCACCAGGACAACAAGTTCTCAAAGCCACCTCCTGTTTTCCAGCAACTCTCCCACATAGGACCTGGGGCTTTGCTCCTTCCGCTTCTTTATCTCCTCTGGCTCTACCCCCCCCTTTCCTAGCCCCCTATGTCCCTTTTACTTACCAAGTCCGGGGCCACACTGGTATCCATCTTGCATCCTCAGTCCGGGAGCCGGGAAGAGCTCGCCTCTCTTCGTGGTCTTGTCTCTTCCTGTCCTGTCTGTTAGGGGAAAGAGGGAGATGAAAGGAGAGAAGCTGGTTCCATTGCTCTCATCTTCTGTTCTCCAAGGTCCTGTGGCCTACACCCTCTGGTGTACCACACCGCACCTCATTCAGTCCTGAGAGATACTTCTAAGCAGTGGCTTCTATTTTCATCTGCAATTTTAGATGTAGAAATCAAGGTTTGGAAAGTTTCCCAGGCTCTTAGACCTGGTGAGTGGCAGGCTCAAGATTGGACCACACTGTGGGTCTGAACTAAAAAAAATACCTCCAAGTTGATCCAGACCATCTGCTTTGGGCTCACCTGGGGTGCTTATCCAAAAAGCCATATTCTGCCAGGCACCTGTGGCTTGCACCTGTAATCCTAGCTACTCAGGAGGCTGAGATCTGAGGATCTGCCCCTATGCTCGTCTTTTGACCATCTGTGTTCTGCTCATTTGTGAGCTTTCAGAAACAGTTGTTTTGGGGGTTGTGAAGGTGGCTTAGTGGTAGAGTGCTTGCTTTGCATGCACGAGGCCCTGGGTTCCATAGCTCTCAGCACCACATAAGCAGAAAAAGCTGGAAGTGGCGCTGTGGCTCAAGTGGTAGAGCACTTGCCTTGAGCTGAAGAGCTGAGGGACAGTGCCCAGGCCCAGAGTTCAGGCCCCATGACCAAAACAAACAAACAACAACAACAAAAACAAAAACATGTTTTGTGAATTCTGCTCAATTTGTTTATGTGTGTGTATGTGCATGTGTGCGCACGCACCCATCCTAGGACTTGAATACAGGGCCTGGGTGCTGTCCCTGAGCTTTTTTGCTCAAGATTAGTGCTCTACCACTTGAGCCATAGCTCCACCTCTGGCTTTTCGGTGGTTAATCAGAAATAAGATTCTCACAGACTTGCTGCTGGCTTCTCAGATTTCAGCTTCCCAAGTTGCTAGGATTACAGGTGTGAGCCACCAACAGCAATGCCCCGCTGATCTGTTCTTTTGAGGCTATGCTTTGTGAGTAGTACCCTCACCTGCATGCAGCCTGGCTGGTCCCTGGGCAGTGCCTACAGCCTCCTTAATAAAACCTGTGTCTTATGCTCGTTTGTGTCCTGTTGAGTGTCTTGGACACAGAGCTGACAACCCAACAGCCATTGGTAACTAGCACTGGATGGAAGGAGGGTCCCCAGGAGGAGCTGCAAGGTGTTGTCGAGAAGAAACTGGAAGTGAGCCAGCAGGAAGTGATCTAGTGGTCCCCAGAGGGCTACCACTTTTCCCTTTGCTTCTCAGTCTCTGCCTGGTGCTTTTCTGTCATGGGTAATCTCTTCTCATTGCTTTGTGAACTTAATTCCCATTTCTGTGTTCCTTTTCAGAATGCCAAACTGGGGAGGAGGCAAGAAATGTGGGGTGTGCCAGAAGACCGTCTACTTTGCTGAGGAGGTCCAGTGTGAAGGCAACAGCTTCCATAAATCCTGCTTCCTGTGCAGTAAGTCCCACCCAGGCCGGCCAGGCCTGCCCCTATAGTCCGGGCCTGTCAACACCCCAGGGAACGGGTCCCACGGGATGTAAACAGCTTGACATTTGGCTGAAGCACAGCTGGGGAGGGGAAACACTTAAGGGCCTCTTTGTTCCCTTTAGAAGCTGTTTTCTGAGGGGTGAACTGGCCAGGGCTGGTTGGGGTGGCAGGCGTGCGGGGGCTGAGAGCCAAGCTGGAAAGACTTGGTTAGGAAAACTTTCCACTCTCTTCTTTTCTCTCACTCACTCGCTTGTCCTTTCTCCCAGCCCCAATTCCATCATTTCAGAGGAGGAAACTGTGTGTGTATGTGCTGATACTAGGGCTTGAACTCAGGGCCTATACACTGTCCCTTAGCTTTTTCGCTCAAGGCTGGTACTGTACCATGTGAACCACTTCTGGCCACTTCTGGCTTCTTGCTAGTTCATTGGAGAGAAGAGTTCCATGTTCTTTCCTGCCCAGGCTGGCTTTGAACCACAGTCCTCGTATCTCAGCCGCCTGAGTGGCTAGGATTACAGGCATGAGCCACATGTCCTCAGCAGAAGAGGACACTTTTCGTGCAAATTTTACTAGCCTTCAGATCCAAATTATCACTCGTGAAAAGGCAGCAACCTTCTGATGAAGGTCAATGTAGAGGAAGGTGAGGCTCTTCCTTCCTTAGCCCTTTCAAGCTATTTCATCCACTTTCTACATTCCATTCCTACTCCTCTCCTGTGAGGAGAGGAAGAAGAGGCTCCAAGTTTGTAGCTATCCCCTCCTAAAAATCTAGAATGAGAGTTACTGCATTTACAAGTCTGAAAGAGTAAGAAATAGGCACAGGATGCCGAGTCAGGTCTACCTAAGAACCCTGTCTCCTCGATGCTGCTCTGGTTCATACCTAGTCCTGATGAAGTTTCCAGGAAGTGCCAACTTGGAGGAGCCTCTCTTCTGATTCCTGAATGGTTGATTTGATATGATCAGAGCAGAATGTCCACATAAGAAAAGTCACCTACCACAAATGCATTTTAGAAACACAGTTGAATTGTCTGTTTAGATGAAGGACAAGTTTATCAATTTTTCTCATCAGCATTTTATGAGGCTGTTGTGAGAACTGAAAGGAACTTGTGAAACAAAGCACTTACCAGGCACTGGTGGCTCTCACCTGTAAACCTAGCTATCCAAGAAGCTGAGATCTGAGGATCTTAGTTCAAAGCCAGTCTGAGCAGGAAAATCTATGAGACTCTTAACTGCAGTTAATCAGCAAGCAAACAAAAAAACAAAAAAACAAACCCAGAAGTGGAGCTCAAGTGGTAGCTCAAGTGGTAGAACACTAGCTTTGAGCAAAAAAAAAAAACTAAGGGACAGTGCCCAGGTCAAAAAGTAGTGGCACCAGGGATGGGAAGGTGGCTCAGTGATAGAGTACTTGCCTTGCATGCATGAGGCCCTGGGTTCCATTCCTCGGCACCACATAAGCAGGGAAGGAAGTGGTGCTGTGGCTCAAGTGGTAGAGTGTTAACCTTGAGCTGAAGAGCTGAGGGACAGTGCCCAGGCCCAGAGTTCAGACCCCATGACTACCACCACCAACAACAAAAAAAGTACTGGCACCAAAAAACAAAAAGCACTTAAAGCATCTGTGGATGCTCAATAAATGACAGACACTTCTTTGGTGTACACGCATGCCTATGTGTACACATACACATCATGTTTATTGCTCTGGGATTTACAGCCATGTAGTGTGACAGAGAAGAGAACTCCCGGGGATTTGATGTCCCAGCCTCTTTGGATGCTCTAGGGAAAGAATGACCTGCCCATCATGCATTGTGTGAGACCGTTGGGAGATCTAAGCTTCCTTTGCTCCCCGGTGGACTGGGCTCTTGAGAACAATCTATGTGGACCAAGGGTTACCTGTTCACGGAATGTTGTCCACACTTTATCCACCCTGAAGCCACCGGCACAGGGCAGACAGGGCCCCACACTGCCCAGTGAGTCTGGAGTGACAGCCTCAGGGTTTTTGTGACACCAAGCTCCAGGGCAGCTCTGCTGGCTTCCGGTCTGCAGTCTGCTTATTACAGTTCATCACTCAGATTTTCCAGCGGTTGCTTTTTTTCCCCCCCCAAGAGAATCAGGGAGGCCTTGGCCCTGACTAGGAAGAGGCTCTAGGCTGCGGGGGTCCAAAGGGCCTCTGCTCCCAAGTGTTACTTAATCATAGATGAAGAGAAGCCAGCTGTGCCCCAGAGTCCTGCCTGCAGTCCTGCTGTGGAGGGAGGTCAGGAATTCAGGGGGTGGCATAGGAAGGAAGGAACAGTGCCTGGGCAGCACGGAGTGGGGGTTTGAGGGGGTGTTAGGGATTAGAAACAGTTGCGGAAAGTCAGACTGGGGAGCAGGGGGAGGGAGGGTATTATGCAGAGGAAAGAAATGGTTGGTGTATCTCTGGGGTCTCAGGGTCTGGGCAGCTCTTCCTGGATGTCAGGGCACTGCCTATGCCCAGTGCTCTGGGTCTTCACCTCGTGTGCCAGCCCTCTGAGATTTGCTTAGGAATTGCTTTATTGGGTGGTTAGTGTCCAGCTTGAATTTAGGGTAACCCACAGATCAAAGGACTTTACCTCCTAAGGAAGGGGGAGGCTGGCAGAGACTGGGCCTAGATGGCATGGAACATAAGAGCCATTGTCCTTGCTGGCTGGGCCCAGGGAAGTCCCCAAAAGAAAAAGAAAAAGAAAAAAAAATATAGAGTGTGTGTGTGTGTGGTCAGTTGTGAGGCTTGAACTCAGAGCCTGGACACTGTCCCTGAGATTTTGTGATCAAGGCTGGCACCCCACCACTTGAGCCACAGCTGGTTTTCTGGTGGTTAATTGAAGATAAAAGTCTTGTAGCTCAAAGCCTAGGCTGGCTTTGAACCTTGATCCTCAGATCTCAGCCCCCTGAGTAGCTAGGATGACAGGTGTGAGCCACCAGCACCTGGCCCAAAAGAAGTTTTCATCATTCAAGTTCTTGGCTCTGGGTTCAGCCCAGCTTGGTGCCTACATTTCCTTTCTTGAGAGTCTGGGCTGGGCACAAGAAGACTGGATGATGTACTAGCACTTTCCCAGGACTTAAACCACTGTAGTCTCAGTAGGGCAGGCAGTTCCCATTAGCGGAGGGTTCAGCTCTCTCAGAGGAGAACTCAGCTCTGGCCTGGAGCCTGCTGGAAGCTCAGCGCCTATCCCTCATCTGCAACCAGGGTGGGCTGATGTGAGCAGCCACCTTGTGGACAAGAAGGACCACGTGTCCTAGCCTGATGGTGGTGGCTAAGAAAACTGATGCCTGCAGACTTGCCCTCTGCTGTTCCCCAGAGGCCTAGAGCACAGAGGAAGCTTGCAGAGCATGAATATGCCCTCTGACCTTCAGGGTGAAGTTGAAGGTCAGTTTTCACCCTTCTGTGCTTACTGCTTGACCAACACTAGGGAGCCTTGGGCTGGCAGAAACCCAGCAGTGGAAATCAGGGGCCAGGATCTGGCCTTGCCCTGCCTCTGGTTATGTGAACTTGAACTGTGTGTCGCCCCCCCCCCCCTCCCCCGTGGGCCTTGTTTTCCTTCTAGAGAAAAATGACTCTCCATCTTGGCTGGAGCAAAGTCACTGCCACTTTCTTGTACTTCCAAATGGCATCGCTAGGCCCCACCCAGCCAGGTGGTATCTGGAAGTACACCTTCCCGGACAAATACACTAAGCCAGTTTTTTGTTTTTCTTTTTCTTTTCTGGCAGTACTGGGTTTGAACTCAGGGCCCTAAGATTGTTCAACTGGCACCACCACTTGGAGCCATACCTCTAACCCTGCATTTTGCTGGTTATTAGGAGGATGGAGGTCTAGCGTACTTCTACCTGGGCTAACCACAAACCATAATCCTCCTGAGTAGCTAAGACTGTAGGCATGAACCTTGGTTGCCTGCTTTTTTATTATATTAGTATTATTTGGTAGAAATGATTTTCATAAGGGATAGAAGGAGTAGGGAGCATGTTCCAAACCTTCCCTTACACCTTACAAAAGAGCTGAGTTCTCTACTATGAAATTTGGAAGGAGATGAAGGGACAGAGGCCCTAGGGAGAAGTGGAGAGTGGGCCGGGGTGGGCAGGCCACATGTCTAAGAGAACTCAAACCACAGGCATAGGCATTTCCTGACCAGCATAACAGGGCAGCCATCTTGAAGGTAGCAACAAGTAGGCCCTGATGTCTCCTCTGTGCTGAAGTCTTGCTGGTGACATCAGCCAAAGAGGCTTGGTTCCCCAACCACTCTTTGCTTTCTGCCTTCCCTCAGATCTTGGAATTTCCAGTTCAGTGTAATGTCTGGTGGGAATAATTTCAGGCCAGTTCTTGACTCCTCACCCTAGAAGGGAATGTTGGAGCCTTTAGCCTTCTGTTCCCTGCCTTCTTCCCTAAAGCCAAGTCCCGGGGGTGGGGGGAGGTGATAGGAGGTTCCATATTTGGGTGGCCCAGATTATAGGAATTAGGTGGAGATCTCCAGGGCAGGACAGAAGGTCCTTATTTAGTCTGAAGCCTACAACCTGGGGCTCAGGGTGAGAGTTTCTGGTGGAGGACTGGACCCTTTAAAGGCAAGAACAAGTTGTTAGCCATTAAACCGATCTTCTATCTCCTTCTCTCGGAGACTTAAGAGGATCTGCTTTTTCAGAGGTATCCTTTGGCTTCTGGCTTCAGAGGTGTGTGTGAATGTTCATTCAGGCCCACCAAATCCCACCCAGTTAGGATGACAGGATGAGATTTAAAGAAAAAAGATGAAGTGAGGTCTTGTGAGAAAAATGGTTGGAAAAGTTCGTGATCTCTTGAGGCCTGGGCCTGACCCTTGCCTTCTCTGTCTCCCAGTGGGAGCAGCTTTGTAGAGTTCTATAAAGTAGCCAATGTTTATTATGGACCTGTTACACTGGCTACTGTGGGCAATGTGTTGCAGGTAAGACCTCAGTGGAGTCTTAGAACCACCTTTTGGGGTAGACACAATCACCTGTGTTTACAAATGAGGCCACAGAGGCTGCGAACTCAAAATCGCTTGCTCTAGCCACAGCTTGGAAAGAAGGCTAGACTCTGATGCCAACTCTGGATCTTCTTATGCAGGAAGGCGGGGGAGGCCCACAGGTTTTCTCACCCTATTCCAATCTCTCTTTCTCCTGGGGACCAAGAAGTTCTTTCCAGTGTCTGCGCTCACATTTCCCTAAGACATAGTGATTTCTGAGAAACCACAAATCCTGATTAGCGTGGCCTGTGTCTCATTTCAAAGCCCGCCATGTTGGGTACTTAATACTTGCTCAACTTTTCTGCAATTCAGGACCCATACATATTCAACATTTCTCCAGTTCACCAGCACACCCCCTCTCAACTCCATCGCTGCACAGACGTCTCCCAATTCCATTGTTGGAGTAGGAAACTCCTGCCCTTCTTCTTTTCTGCTTTCTCCTCCCATGGTGGGACACATGGCCTCTTTGTCAAGGTCAGAGGGAAGAGCTTCATCTGATGCCCTGTAGGCTGTGATCCCTGGGTTAGTGCAATGGTACGGGGATCTGAGGGAAACATGGATTCTTGGAAGTATATGGGGAGGTGGGGATGTACACATACTATCCTTCTGCCCTCCGGCTCATTGGCCACCTCATTATCCTCTGTTTCTTCTCCTTCTTCTTTTCCTCCCCCTCCTCCTCCTCCTCCCCCTCCTCCTCTTCCTCCTCCTCCTCCATTGGGCTTGAACTCAGGACCTGGGTGCTGTCCTAGAGCTTTTTTGTTCAAGGCCAGCACTCTACCACTTTGAACCACAGCTCCCCTGGGTAATTGGAGATGAGTCTCATGATCTTTCTTACCCAGGCTGGCTTTGAACTGCAATCCTCAGATCTCAGCCTCCTGAGTAGTAGTATGAGTCAACAGCACCCGGCTTGTCCTCCATTTCTACGCAGCTCCTAAGAGGGCAGGATAATATGCGCAAAATGCCCAGAGAGCTTCAGGAACAAACTGGCTATGGCTCACTATTCCTGTGTCTCCCCTACAGTGGTCTGTAAGAAGAATCTGGACAGCACCACTGTGGCCGTGCACGGGGAGGAGATCTACTGCAAGTCCTGCTATGGCAAGAAGTATGGGCCAAAAGGCTATGGCTATGGGCAGGGCGCAGGCACCCTGAGCACAGACAAGGGGGAGTCGCTGGGCATCAAGCATGAGGAGTAAGTACAAGATCTTCTCCCGCCCTTTCTGGGGTTCTCTACCTTGCCCCTGAATTTGCGCATTTTCATCCAGTTTTGGTTAAGCAGTAGAAGGCTCAGAAAGCGATTGATCTAAAAGGGAGAGCTAAGGGCTGCTGCATGGCTCAAGAGCTAGAGCGCTTGTGCATTTTGTGGGTCTAGAGGTTATGGCTCAACCCATAGGGCCACAAAGACTAAACTCTTAAAAACCCAAGAATTTCTTTTTCTGTGTGTGTGTGTGTGTGTGTGTGTGTCAGAGAAAGAGAGAGAGAGAGAGAGAGAAAGAGAGAGAGAAAGAGAGAAAGAGAATGAGAATGAATACTGGGGCTCAAATTCAGGGCCTGTGTACTTTTTCCCAGCTTTTTTGCTTGAAGTTGGCTCTCTATCACTTGAGCCACACCTCCATGTCCAGCTTTTTGGTGGTTAATTGGGTGACAAGAGTCTCATGGACTTTCCTGCTTGGTCTGCCTTTAAATTGTGATCCTTAGTCTCAGCCTCCCAGTTCCTCAGGAAGCTGAGATCCGGAGGACATGATTTAAAGCCAGTCTGGGCAGAAAAATCCTCAGGGGTACATCTCTAAAATAATTATCAAAAAAGCAAGGCTGGAGGTATGGCTAAAGGGGTGGAGCACCAGCTGAGCAAGCTAGTTGATGAAGCTTGAGGCCTGAGTTCAATCTCCAGTACTGGGCAAACAAAACAAACAAACAGACAAAAAAAGAAAGCTAGGCCAGTGGCACATGCCTATAATATCAGTACTCTGGAGCCTACAACCGAAGGATGGCCAAGTTTAAGGCCAGCTTAGGTTACACAGGGTAATCCTGTCCCAAAAACAAAACAAAAAATGTAAATAAATACAATTAAAAAAATAAAGGGAGCAGCCAAGGACCCAGCCAGGAATGCAACAGGTCAAGCTGTTCCTGGCACTGAGCATGCGTTGTATATTTCTATAAACATCACCCGAGCTGGGAGGGGCCCCAACAAATATTTTTATCCAACTTCCTCATTTTGAAGACGAAAAAACCCAGGAGATTCCTGACAAGTGGGTTTCTGACCCAGCCCAGGGCTTGGGAGCAGCGTCGCCAGGCCAGCCTTGCTGTCAACCCGTGAGAGAAAGTCATTTCTTTGATTTGGACATGCCACAGGGAGACACTGGGTCTCCCTGGCCTCTGACCTGCTGGTGTGTGGGGCTGTTGTCTGTTAGCCTGGCCAGTGCGTCAGTTCTGGGGAAACAGGCAGAGATGATGGACGAGTTACTAAGTTTCAGCCAAGGTCATTGCCCTTGGGGAATGATCTGTTACTGGATTTCTTCCGGAAAGAATCTAAGAATAGACCAGCTGCAGAAATGAGGAGCTGAGGAGGGGTTTCTTAGCAAACGAGGTGTGAAATGATTCTGGGGTTTTAACTGGGTGATGGAAGGAAGTATGAAGTGTCCGTGAATGTAACACGCTGCAGAGCCTTGCTTCGTCCATCTGTGCCATGGGCGACAGCCCTTGTGTTTGTGGATCTTATCCGTGGAAGGCCAGTCCCACCTGTATTTGCTACTGAAAGTCAGTTCATCCTGTGTACTTCCTCCATGCAGAGCACCTGGCCACAGGCCCACCACCAACCCCAATGCATCCAAGTTCGCCCAGAAGATCGGCGGCTCCGAGCGCTGCCCGCGGTGTAGCCAGGCGGTCTATGCAGCAGAGAAGGTGATTGGTGCCGGGAAGGTAAGGTGCTAATGGGCACAAGGTGCTATGGCAAGAAGACACCTTCCAGAAAGGTAGACCACAGAACTTTGCAAATAGCGACCGTATACCTCTGCTTGTGATCACATTACTTTTTCTCTTTCTTGCTTTGTCCAGTACGAAATAGAAATTTTTTTTAAAATACCTAAGAGGAGCTGGGAATGTGGCTTAGTGGTAGAATGCTTGCCCAGCATGCATGAAGTCTTGGGCTCCCTTGGTTCGATTCCTCAGTACTACATAAACCACAGAAAAAAGCTGGAAGTAGTGCTGTGGCTCAAATTAGAGTGCTACCCTGAACAAAAGAAGCTCAGGGACAGTGCCCAGGCCCTGAGTTCAAGCCCCAGGACTGGCTTGCGCACACGCACACACACACACACACACACACACACACACACACACACACACACAGAGCATAATTAACAAACAAAATTCCTAGGAATTGCTATTTCGATGACATAGATGGGCATAAAAGGTAAAGTACTAAGTACTAAGCAGCAGAGAAGTGAGTAAGAGTTGAAAAGGGAAAGGCAGAGGGAAGCTCAACCCTGGGGAGCAGGGCATACTTTTTAGGTTCTGTGGGAAGGAGCAGAGTCAGAGCTCCACTGAGGCAGCTGGTTTGGAAAAGTGAGGTGGGTGGTGATCCCTTTGTGACCCAGTCCTTCTCCAGCCTGGAGAGCGAGGGTAGCAGCCTCTGCTTTATAGAGGAGGACACAAAGCTGGGTGAGGTTGCACGGGACACTGAGAGAGGACTGGAACCCCCACGTCAGCTCCCCGGACCCCGCCACTCTTGCTTGAGCACAGGGGAAGGAGCCTGGGGCGAGGGGTAGTGGCATGGAAATCTGAAAGCACCCAGCTTCCTTTCACTCCCTCCAGCCTGGACACCCGAGTCTGTGCTGAGATCTGTCTGTCCTTAAAAGGCATTGTTTGTCCTGCCCGACTGCTGCCGGCCCCTTGCTTTTAGATTAGCAGTGTTTTTAGAGTTTAGCAGTGTGGTCTACACAGCAGCCTCAGCCTGCTCAGCTGTTGTTGATGGAAGCCAGCTGTCAAGCAGTCATACCGACCGTGCGGCTGCTGCTGCTGTGCCAGAGTGTGTGCGACTGTGTGCGACTGTGTGCGACTGTGTGTGTGTGTGTGTGTGTGTGTGTGTGTGTGTGTGTGTGTGTGTGTGTGTGTGTGTGTGTGTGTGTGTGTGTGTGTGTGTGTGTGTGTGTGTGTGTGAGTGATTACTGTGCACAGACCTGAGCCTGTGCTGCCACCTCTGGTCACCTCTTAGAACTACTCATGGCCTTTTATGGAAGCCACGCTGCCGCCAGGCGCCTGCCCCTGACTTGGATGCTTTGTAGAGACCCACTCTCCTTCCTCAGTCCCACTAGACAACACTGCCCCAGGGCCTCCTCCCTGCCGGACCCCCTGAAGAAGTCATTTAGTGCTCACTGCTACCTTGTGAGGGAGGTATGGCCAGACCACTCCCAGAGCTTGCTGGCTAAGATAAAGTAAGACCTGAGTTCCAGGACCTCAGCAGGTGGGCTCTTCTAGAAGAATCCTGTTTACAAATGTCTGTGATGGGCCATGTGCTGGTGGCTCAGGCCTGTAATCCTAGCAATTCAGGAAGCTGAGCTCTGAGAACTGTAGTTCAAAGTCAGCCTGGGCAGGAAAGTCCATGAAACTCTTACCTTCAATTAACCACCAAAACACTGGAACTGGAACTGGAGGTCAAGTGGTAGAGCACCAGCCTTGAGTGTTTAAAAAGCTAAGGGACAGGACCTAGGCCTTGAGTTCAAGCCTTGTGACCTGCACAAAAGAACAAAAACAAATGTTTGTGTTGTGTGGCCAGACATCAGCCATCTAGGAAGTGAGTCCACACGGCCCTCCTGCCAGGTAGGCAGAGGACCCCGGGGAGGACACTAGAGAGGCCATTCACCAGTGTGTGCCAGCCTGAGGAGTCCAGAGGCCTTTGCTCATCCTGCTAGTCTGCAGGCAGAATGGGTGTGGGGAAGGTCTGTCTAGTTGCCGACGGGGAAGCAGCTCTTTGGATGTGGCCTCAGCCCCATATTTCCTTTGTGTGGTGTGCCTGGTGCCACTTACATTAAACTATTGCAGCATGCATCTGGAAATAGGGTAAGGTTGGTTGAGGTCAGTCCCTGCCCCAATTCCCCAAGGGATCCAGCAACCCTGGGTCACCTTCTCCCAGCAGCCCCTGCCTAGGAGGACCTTTCCATCATGGCTTTCAAAGGGCACAGGGACATCCTGGTTACTAGCAGTAGCACTGACTGTCTCCTTTCTTACCTAGTCCTGGCATAAATCCTGCTTCCGGTGTGCCAAGTGTGGGAAAGGCCTGGAGTCCACCACCCTGGCAGACAAGGATGGCGAGATCTATTGCAAAGGTGGGTAGTTTCGCTGTTTTTTGTTTTCTTTTTCTTTGCTGTCAGTTCTGGGGCTTTGAACTCAGGGCCTGGGTGCTGTCCCTGAGCTTTTTTGCTCAAGGCTAGTTACACTCTACCATTTGAGCCACAGCACCACTTTCGGCTTTTTGCCAGTTAATTGGAGATAAGAGTCTCTCAGACTTTCCTGTCCAGGCTGACTCCAAACTATGATCCTGGGATCTCAGCCTCCTGAGTAGCTGGGGTTACAGGTGTGAGCCATTGGCACCAGGCAATAATTTCACTTCTTACTGAGGATCAGGAGGCTTGAGATGGGAGGGAGACGGAAGCTGTATCTCTCCTTGCCTTAATATCCACAAACCATTTCATGTGACTCTTTCCGGTCATGGATGGGGAAACAAGCCAGAGGGAGGACTGATCGGATTCCGCTGGATTCCCATCTGATGATCTTCAATCCTTACAGGAAATGGGTCCCTCTCACAACTGAGCTGGACAGTTGCTGTAGCCACGGGGGGAACTCCCAGGGCTGGTGGGAGGAGCTGCTAGGCAGGGAGCAAAATGTCTTTACCCTGTGTCCTCTCTCTGCAGGATGCTATGCTAAAAACTTTGGACCCAAAGGCTTCGGCTTCGGACAGGGAGCTGGAGCCTTGGTCCACTCAGAGTGAAGCCGCCATTGCCCGCTGCACCGTCCACTCCTGTGCTTCTCATTGTCACCCCCCTGCAGCAGCCTCGGCGCCCCCCAGGACCTCGCTCACTCAGCCCTGCCACACATCACTAATGACTTGAACTTGGGCATCTGGCTCCCTTTGGTTTAGGGGGGTCTGGCCTGAGCTCCCACCTCACTAAGGAGTTCCCCTGCCTGTCCTCTGATACTACCACCAGTAGGAGACACCTGTCTTTTTAGTCTAAGTGGGACCAGACCCCCCTCTCCCTACACTTCACCCCACAGCCCTCTGCTTTTGGCCTCTTAAGCTCAATGTCCGACAGCAACCAGCCAGGGCACCTGGGCCACATCTTGAAGTCTAAAGGAGGAGCAGCAGCTATAGGCCAAGAGGAAGCAGACCCAGAAAGAGGCAGGGAAAGGCGGTGGCTTACTGGACCGTAGGGGTTCTCCTGTGGTAGAGGATAGGCTGCTGGTGTCTCTCAGAAGAAGTCTGAGGAGTCCCAGTCGAGTAGTCACTGTGGAAGGCTGAGATGTGTACAGGCATGGCCCTAACCCTTGGAGAGGATCCCCTTGCTTCTCTGGCCTGAGTCTGTGGAACTGGTGGACTCCCATTTAGGACTGGAGGATCCATTCTCAGGAGGTCGTCTGACCCCCTTCTGCATCTAGTTCCTGGTTTGGAGAATCAGAGTGACATACTTCCAACACACATTTGAGTTTCTTAGTGGTCCAACTCTTAGGGGAGTTGGCACTGGCCCTAACTATGGGTCCTGAGGCTGCAGTGGGCAGCTCCTCCCTGCTCCCAGCCCAGCCCAGCCTGGATGTGGAGGGAGGCAGACAGCCTCAGCCTTCTTTCAACATTCCTTCTCTCTGTGCCCACTCCTTACACCTCCCCTTGTACCTCCACCCCTGGGCACCTTTGCTGGCCCTATAGCTCCATTTGTTCCAAGCCTGCAGGTCAGGAGCAGCAGGCTGAGAGGGAGGGGCAGCGTCCACTGACAGGACGCTGTCTGTAGCTGCAGAAGCAGGCTGCGTTCAAGCTGATTTCCCATCTGGTCAATAAAGCTGTTTAGAACAGAACTCTGGTGTCCTGACCCTGTGTCTGCCAGGCGTGGCCACACCATCCCCTTGGAATCTGGGAGGGAACTGGATCATTAACATTAGCAAGAAGGTGGGAATGAATTCACTCCAGCTTTTTCTAAGATCCACTGACCTCTCAACATCAGTTCTAAGTGACTCGTGCAACCTGAGTGGTTCTACCAACTGAATGTCACTGCCTGGCCCCTACATCTGGGCATGGGAACTGCACGGATTTGTGCATTTGAGGGGCTCGTCTAGATCCCCAAAATGCTCAAGACTTCTCCCAGCTTGGAAAGCCCGGGCCTCAAAAGGAAACTCAGCCAGAGGAACTTCCAAGTCAAATGCAGAAAGCTCGCTTCTGCCTGGGGAAAAGGGGTGGAGAGACCAGGGGAAGTCTGCTGCCTAGTAAGGCCAGACTTTAGGAAACAGGTGCTTGAGATTGCAGGGTACCTCATTTTGTAGAGAACAAATATGTCATGCTTCCGGGCTTGAGCTTCCTGAAAATGGTTCACATTGAATTTTCAAAAATATGAGCAGAAGCTTTAACAACAAGGCCTTGTGTGTCCAGAAGGCCAGCCAGCCCAACAGTGGCACACACACACACACACACACACACACACACACACACACACACACACACACACACACACACACACACACACACACACACCTCCACCACCACCACCTCCCATGGGAGGCACAGGTGAAAGCTAGAGCTGAGAGGTGACTGCCGGTCCTGGGTGGGCACTGCCTGGGCTCCCCAGCTGTAGGGTCAAGGTGACCTTGGCCCTTGCGGCCTGCACCTGACCTGGCCCGCTGGAGGGGCTCAGGGAGGTTTCTGGGCGGAGGTTCTGTGCACACACCTGGGATCCAGGAGCTCCAGGTTCTCCACAGGAGTGGCCGGGACGGGCGCCTGGGCGCCCAAGGGTGGGGCCACGCTGCCCTCTGCTGGCTGCGCGGGCGCCTCGCGGGTCCCCTCGCCCAGGACTGTCCTCCCAGGCCCCTTACTGGTCCGCAGCGCCACCACCCGACGTGGGGAAGGGGTCGGAGCGCACCTTCAGGGGGAGAAAAGCCGAGGGCTGTAAGCCACGCCGGGCGGGGCCTGGAAGCCGGTGCACGCGGGGCGGGGCAGGCGGGGCGGTCGGTGCAGGGCGGGCCTGGAGGGCGGGACCTCGGGCCCGGGCCGGGCACTGGGGCGGGGCGGGGGGCGGCACTGCGGCCCGGAGAGGCCCGCGAATCCGCCCGCCGGGCGACCGCGCTGTGCCAAGACGACGCCAGGAGGCGCTGTGGAGCCAGGTTGAAGGCGGCCTCTGCCTTTGCAAACCACAATCCCCTCCTGCTCCCTCCTCCCCCGTCCTGCTCCCTCGTCTTGGGGGTCCACAATCCCCCTCCTCCTGAGGCCCACCCCTCCCCTCCCCTGGTGGGGTCAGTACCCCCTCCTCTTCCTGGTCCTAAACTGGCGGGCATCTGTCTGATCCAGACCGCAGCTTCTCCCTGGGTGTGTGTGGTGGTGGTGGGGGGGGGGGGGTTGTGAGTTCCTGGTGCCCCGTGGCACACCAACCCTTGGGACTGACCCAAAGGCCTAGGGTGGGCAACGATCTTTGTGTCCCTTAGGTGTTTCCACTGTCGTTTCTCAAATCTGAGCAAGGCCTGGGTGGAAGGCATTCTCTGTAGCCCGCGTCCGGAAAGGGCGGCCCCTCCTAGGCAGTGAGCACTGGCTCCCTCCTCCAGGCATCTTTTGCGGGGCGGGGGGGGGGGGGGGGGGGGGGGGGGGGGGGGGGGGGAGGGTGTCACCTGAGAGACACAAGGAGCCAGACTGAACTGGAACAAGAGATGAAGGAGGGGCAGGAAGACAGAGGACTGTGAGTTCAAGGCCAGCCTGGGCTGAGAGAGAGAAGAGTGAGAGACAGAGCAGTCCTCTCTGATTACAGTGCTCATGCCTGTAATCCTAGCTACTCAGAAAGGAGGCAGAGAGCTGAGGATCACAGCTCCAAGCCAACCCAGGGCAGGAAAATCTGTAGGATTCCAATTTGCCAGCAATAAGCCAGATATGGAGCTGTGGTACAAATGGTAGAGTGCTCACCTTGAGCAAAAAAAGCTAAGGGATAGTGTGCAGGCCCTGAATTCAAGGTGAGAGGAGGGGCAGAGGGAGGGGGTGGAAAAGGAAGTGTATATGATGAGAGCGCATGTGTGGGGAGGGGCAGCTAGAGAGGCTGTTAGTGTGTGAGTAATCCTCTGGTCAAAGGCCATAGACAGTCCCAGAGAGGTTGGGGCTAGGATCCTGATTGTCCCCAAACCCATGGGGTAAGGGTCATGGTGGTCAATGGAAAAGAGTGAGAAAACTTGCAAATGGATCTCTAGATGGTTCTGGCTCATTCCTCCACCACCCTCCAGTCTTACCTTCAAACCTATCCCCATGTGATGAGAATTATGGAGAGGAGGGTAAGTTTTCAAGTAAGTTCCTAGGAGAGTGTAGTGGCACATTTCTGTAATCCCACTACTCTACAAGTGGAGATGAGAAGATTCACTGTGAGTCAAGGCCAGCTAGGGCAAAATGGAAGACCCTATCTTAAAGGTAACTAAACAACAAAAGGACTGGAGGCATGGTTCAAGTGGTAAAGCCAAGTGCAAGGCCCTGTGTTCAAGCCCTAGTGCTGAAAAAGCAAAGAAAGAAAGAAAGAAAGAAAGAAAGAAAGAAAGAAAGAAAGAAAGAAAGAAAGAAAGAAAGAAAGAAAGGAAGGAAGGAAGGAAGGAAGGAAGAGGATTCCAGCCCTAACCTTAGAGATTCTGATCAGGTTGGAGGGGTGGGGATGAGAATGTATATTTGAAAAGCACCTGAGATGATTCTGATGCTCAGGCTTACCAGGCCTGAGAACCTGTGGGATAGTTCAGCTTCCCAGCCAGCAAAGCTCCACCCTGCAGCTCACCTGCCTGACCAGGTAACCCTGGGCTGCCCAGCTCCAGCTCCACCTGGCTGCTTGCTCTGCCTCCAAACAGTCCTCATGATTGGAGAGAGCTTCCTGTCTCTGTCCCCTAGGGTTATCCACAAGTCGAATCCTCTCCTGCCCAACAGTGGTACAGATCTGAAGACAGATGCCCAAGTCCTCTTTGACACAGACTTCCCTGGCCGCTGGGGTCCTGGCCTTGGGGGTCCCTGTCATCCATTGAGAAATAAAAAGAGGAGTTTGTGGGGCTGGGAGAGGTGTGGCTCAGTGGTGGAGCACGTGGGTGGCATGTGTGAGGCCTTTGATTCCAATCTGGGGGGGGGGAGCAGACAGAGAGGGGTGGAGACCGAGAGAGCATAACACGAATGGTACAAACAGGAGCATCCTCTGGAAGGACCTATACCCTGCCTGGGGCTTGACTTCATAACCCTTACTTCATTTTTAGATTAAATGTGTGTGTGTGTGTGTGTGTGTGTGTGTGTGTGTGTGTGTGTGTGTGTGTGTGCTCTGGTACTGGGGCTTGAACTCAGGGCCTTGAACTCTCCCTTAACTTTTTCACTCAAGGCTGACATTTTACCATTTTTGGCTTTTTGCTAGTTAATTGGAGATTAAGAGTGTCATGGATTTATTTGCCTGCCTTTGAATCTCAGCCCTCAGATCTCAGCTTTCTGAGTAGCTAGGATTACAGGCATGAGCTACTAGCACTCAGGTTAATTTAACTTTTCTTTTTCTTTTTTTTCTTTTTGCCAGTTCTGAGGCTTGAACTCAGGGCCTGGGCACTGTCCCTGAGCTTCTTTTGCTCAAAGCTAGCACTTTACCACTTGAGCCACAGCTCCACTTCTGGCTTTTTCTGATTATGTGGTGCTGAAAAATCGAACCCAGGACTTCAGGCATGGTAGGCAAACACTCTGCCACTAAACCATATTCCCAGCCCCTTCATTTAACTTTTATTAGCATATGTTAATTGTACAAGGAAAATCTCGATGTGGCATTTCTACCTATCCTTCAGTGTATCCTGATGGACCACCCACCCTGTTGCTTGCCCTACCTTGACTCCTTCTCTTGAACAGTTAAGAGACATCTGTCAATCATCTTGACATGACCCTGCCACAGACCATTCAAAGACCTCATTCAGTGTATTAACTCACTTTAATGCTCAGAGTAACCTTATGAGAAGACAGTGTCAAACCATTTATTTGCACATGATCAAAATGAAAACTAGGAACCAAAAAGCAGTTGAGGAACTAGCTCAAGGTGAAATGGAAGAAAAGGTGGCTGGGCTTAACACTGTAAGAAACTGACATGTGCCGGCTAGAAGATATGAAAACTGGCCTTAAAACAGTGAGTTACACTTGAGGAACTGTCAACAGATAACAACCATGTAAGAGGTCCCTGCCCGTGGTCTAAGTGCTATCTTTATTTGGTGCCTGCATGAGAAGTAGGAGGTGGTTGGAGAACTCACTAGCATAGAAGAGGAAAGTGAGGTTCAGTGGTTTTGCGTGAGTGCATACGTGCACATGCGTGCTTTGTGTATATTAGAATTTGAACTCAGGGCCTGTTTGCTAAAGATTGATCCTCTTCCACTTATGACAGGTCCACTTCCAGCTTTTTGTTGGTTAACTAGAGACAAGTCTCATGGACTTTCCTGCCTGGACTGGCTTCGAACCCTCATCTTTAGATCTTGGTCTCCTGAGCAGCTAGGATTGCAGGCGTGAGCAGCAAGGATTCAATGAGCGTTAAAGGGATTTACTCAAAAGTCACTGGCAAGCAGAGGAGCCTTGATTGGAACCAGCTGTATGGCTTTGGGCCTGCCTCCTCCCCTCTGGGTGTCAGCGCCCCATTTGTGAAATGAAAATGTTGGCCTACATTAGTGAAGCAGTGAAGCTTCTGATGTGCAAACTCATCTCCCCGGGATCTTGTAAAAGGCAGATTCTGTTCAGTAGTGCTTGGGTGGGGCCTGAGACCGGATGTCTCTCACCAGCTCCCAGGGGAAGGTGGTGCTGATGCTGCAGATGATTGCTGGACCACACGGGTGCAGCCAGGCTCCCCGGGACC